AAACAATAAAAATCAAATTAGATCTCACAGTTTTGTTGATTCTAAGGCTTCTGCTTCCTTCAACCAAGTATCAGAATTTTGCTACGCATGGTCATGGTGAAAAATCGAGAAAAATCAGAGAAGAGAGAAGAGAAGAGAATAAAGGTGTGGAAACCCTAGGTCTGATCGTTTTCTTTCTTGTTTTTCCTCTTCTTTTCTTTCTCTCTACTTCCCCCAAGAGAAGCCTAAAAAATCTCCTAAAATTTCTCTAGATGACAATCTCCAAGTCTGACTTATCAAGAAAAATATCAAAGATAAGATAAAACAAAGTTCTAATGTAAGTGGGAGAGTGGTGATTTTGCATATGAAAACTTGCAGGGTAAGGAATGTTTCCAGCACGTTAGCAGTGCGGTTGCAGCTATTTCGTGCCCGATTTCGACATCGATGCAGTCAGTCTCTAACAAAACTCAAAACATGAAAGTTGTAGAGATTTTCCTTATCGTTCCAACGCATCTTGAATCATCTCAATTGAATTACGATGAAAGAGTTATGCCCAAATTACCCAATTAGCCTTGCTTTTCACTTAACGCCTCCATTTGTGCCCTAAATCAAAATATAAGAATAATGAGTCCATTTAGGTATTAAATAAGTATAAAACACTAAACATTAAGGGAGAAAAATATGATATTTTGCATTCTCATCACTTACGGTTTTCCATTTAACGGGAGGGAACGAAATGGAATCTTACTTTTCCAACGGACAAATGGAGGTGTTTGGTCATGAAATTTAACGTGGGGGGGTTATTCGGGTCTCCAAATAGTGTGGTAAGGTCTAATTGGTCATATGAAGTTGGGATAACGGATGGTAAGATCTAATTAATGAGATTTGTTGAAATAGGATTTAGGCTTGATGGGGGGTCAAATGGGGGAATTTTTAGATATAATTTGGTAGGTAATCATGGATTACGGTGAGGAATCAAGTGGATGGTTCTAATTTGAAAAAGATATGGTCAATCTTGGTAACCATTCAGGGCCATCAAAATGACATCATAATGTTTTTGTGGTTGATCATCGTCGATTTGTGATGGAGTTCACTAGTTGATTACTTCCTAGTGATCTTGAGGTGATGCGTGTGTGTTGGATTTGATTTTAAGAAGTTGAAGTTTGAATACCGCATAGATTGGGGCTGTTAGAAAGGAAGTTGGTGTGATGAACGGTGGATCTTTGGAGTTCAGTCATGAAAATTGATGTATAAATAAGCTATAAGTTTCCAAGTCTGGGGATGGTGTCTAATTGAACGTTGATGTTGATCTCAAGGTTCTTATTTGTCCAGCAGGTTGTGTTAAAGGAGGGTATTTTGGGCTTTGGAAAGTCTCAAGTTGATCAAGTTGTGCTTCTAAATTTTTTGGGTCTAAGAGGAGGGTACAAAGAGGTAGGGTGAAGGGACCGAGCAAAAATTGGGTGCTTGTTAGACAGTTTTGTATGCCCTTAGCTTCAATCAGAATGATGTACTTTATGAGTTTATTGTAAATGAATAAAAGTGCATATTTGATTCATGTTC